ATCAGCCCTTTTAATAGATCTAAAAGTATAAGACCAGCTTTTAGATATTAAAAAAAAAGTTTATAATTAAGCCTGTCTTCTGTTTTTTTAATTTTAAATATATAATAGTAGTAGAGACAGACTCTTTAGACTATAATATAAAAAAAATACTTTTTTAAATAGATAAAAATAAAAAGCTGTATTTTTATGCCTATTTTTTTAAATAGAATATACCAGCTAAGTATAACTATAAGATTTATAATAAAAAACTGCTAGTAGTTATATAGTATTTAAAAGCTTAGAATACTAAATTATACTTAGTATTAGAATTTACAGTAGTTACTAATTATAAGAATTTAGAATACTTTTTTAAACTATATAAACTTATAGAGAGATATGTATAATAAAGCTTGATTTTAAACAGATTTAACTTTAAATTAGTTTATTAAAAAAAAACAGAAAATAAGCAAACAGACACTTTTTTATAATAAAAATAAAATATATCTAATAAATAAGATCCTAAAATATTGTTCTATATAATACAGATTTTTAGTAGAATATTAAAAAAAGATTTAAAATCTAAAACTGGTTTACTTACTACAGTCCTAGTATAGTTATAAAATATAGTATAGAACTAAATAAAGACTTTCTAAAATAAATACAGCAGACTATTATAAAACTGCTAGAGCTAGAAGACAGATCTAAAGATAACTAGACCTACACCCTAGCAGCAGATATAGATTATTAAAAACTAATAAAATTTATATAAAAAAAATATATAAATTTCTACTTCAGCTAAAACTAAAAGTTTTTTTAAGAAAATATTTAACAGAAGAAGCTTAGGTATACTTTTAAAAAAAATAGTAGGTTTCTAACTATAAACTGCTTTATACAGATCTTATTCAAAGTAACTATAATTCTTTTATTATAAAATATTTTAGTTAAAAACAGATTTATTTTTTTTACTAGAATATACTTTTAGTCTAATATATCTTAGAATATATAAATATATATCTAAAACTATAATATCTGCAGTTATATAAAGCTATAAAAAGAATTAAAGTATAAATTACTAAAGCCGCTGCTAATATTAGATTAATCCTAGTAAGAACTAATAATAGATTTTATTACTAATTTATTTAAAAGTAAGTTATATATAAATATTCTGGTAATTATAAACAGACTAATAAAAAAAGTAATATTTTATATAATAAAAAAGATTACTGCTAAAGCTACAGCTAAGGCCCTAATTAAAACAGTTTTTAAATAATATAGTTTTTTAAAAACTATAGTTTTAGATTAAAACACCCAGTTTATAAGTTATATATAAAAAAGAATATATAATCTACTAAAGATTATAAAAAGATTATCTACAGCCTATTATTTTTAAATAAACAGAATAATAGAATATATAAATAGTACTGTTAAAGTATATCTAAAAGCTTATATAAACTATAATTAAAAAAATTAAATAAACTTACTGTTTTTAGTAGAGCTAGTAATTAACAGCTGTATAAGTACAGCTATAGGATTTTTACTATTTTTTTAAGCTATAGTTATAAGTTAAATCTAAATAGTTAAAAAATAGTTTAAAATATAGATCTGGAGGTTGCTGCCTCCAGCCCTATTTAATAAAAAGATATAATTATATAAAAAATATATAATATCTTAGACTGGGCCCAAAGTATTATAGCCTATATATAATAGAATACTAAAAGACAGGCTAATTAATTCTAATAAGCTGCTCTGTTGTATTAAAAAGGTAACTAAATATAGTTAAATTTATAAAATATTTATATAAATCACCCTAGTAAAAAGCTAGATTAGAAAAATATAAAATATATTATTTTAAAAAAAATAGGATTATATACTGTATAACTTAATATACTAAAAAGTATTTATTTTATATTTTATATTAATCTATTTTATCCAACAGCTGATAATATATTACTATTATAAAATAAAAAAAACTTATAACTACTGCCTATAATAGTTAACAGTAAAAAAGAATATAAGATTAAAAAATTTTTTAATAAATAGTTTATAATAAAAGGCTGGAAGAGCTAATTATAGTATTTTATTAAATAAAAAGACTATACAAAACTAATCTAAAAACCAGTTTTAGTATTTAATAATATAAAAGTAGTTATAAAATAGTAGCTGCAGTCCCAGCCAAACCCTAACTAACTACTAAATAATTAAAAGCTGGAATAAAAAAAAAACTATACTAATACTCTTCCCCCTCAGCTCTAGTTCGTACAAATCTAAAAAAAAAAAAGAAGAAAAAGAAACAAAAAAAAAAAAAGAAAGCCTTTTTTAATTTTTTAAAACTAACTAAAAAAAGCTGTACTTAATCTAATAAAGAAACTAAATACTATTATACTAAATTCAGCTTATATACTAATTTAATCTACTAATTTTTAAATGATATTTTAAGAAAAAGCAGTAATAGCTGCAGGCTTATATTTAGACTTATCTAGATTATAATAGCTATAATATATATTATAATCTTTAAACTTACAGTCTGTACAAGCCCTACTCTACAGCCAAGCTTACTAAACACCTTTTCTATTTAATAAATCATCTAGTCAAGATAAGGTTATCCTGTTAACCAGTAAACAGACTTCCTATTTAGGAAATTTATTAATATTTTATTTATT